CCTGCCGCTCAGCCATCGTTCTTGGTCCTCACTAGGAGGGGGTCCGGATCTCAGAGGCTTGTTCTCCCTGGAAAAGGAAACATCTCCCAGGGTTCTGTGTGTGTGTGTGTGTGTGTGTGTGTGTGTGTGTGTGTTGCCAGAACTTGAGCTTGAGGGCTCCTGTCGTACCCCTGAAGATTTTATCCTTCAAACACTTATTGAACATGCAGATGATGCTCATGCTAAGGACAGGCACAGGCTCTCCCCTTCTCCCGTGTCCCCCCACCCCCCCAATGTAGTTCCACAATTCTGAGCACTCTGCTACACTAAGTGCCCCATGAGGACACACCAACAAAAATGCCCAATGGGTTTTGTGGGATTATGGAGAACGCAGCTGGGGAAGGCAGTAACCTCACAGGCAGCAGGGGTGCGGGAGAGCAGTCCATGGTCAGTAAGTGGGGAAAATTTATCAACAATTTCATGACTGCAGGACTTGTCAGAGGCTTTAATGTAATTTATACAATACGTATCACATAATGTATTAATACGTGATCAGAAGGGGCAGGTATGGCATTCAATATTTTCTACACAAATTTGACCACAAAGTCTCTTGTTCTCAAGAGACTTGTATGCTGGGAAATGCCAAACAAGGAATTCTGCAGGAGGAAGATGGGGCACTAGGATGGGGCACTGAGGCTGCCTGAAATTAGTGTCCTTCTTAGGACAAAGGTCCCAGGCTCCCAGAGGGGAACGGAGGGCCTCCCTGTGAACTCCTCCCCAATGGCTCCCACTTCCCTTCCCTCAGGTTCAACATCGGCGGCCCCACCTCCTCCATCTCTGCTTTATGCTCCTACTTCTTCGATGAAGGCCCTCCAATTCTGCTGGACAAAATCTACAGCCGGCCCAATGACTCTGTCAGTGAGCTCTGGACCCACTCCCGGCTCGCAGGTATGTGCAGAAGCCTTCCCTTTCCTGTTCTCATTCTAGAAGCTTCTGGAAAATCAGGGAAAGGAAAGATAGCTTGGGTTCCAGGAAAAGTAATAGTAAAATATAAAGCCCCTGCCCTATGCTGTGCGCTTTTACAGATGATCCTTAATCCCTGCAAAATGCTACCTTTATACTTAATTTCTAGAGGAGAAAAATGAGTCTTAACTAGGTTGAGTATCTTATCTAACATCACCCAACTAGCAAGTGAAAGAGCCAGAGTTTGAACACTGGTTTGTCTAAAACCAAAATGCCCTCCATTCTCACCACTACAACCATCAGCCTACAAGACAAATGCAAAACTGTAAGGATCCCCCTGCCCATCGCCAAACCACACAGGGTGTCTGGCGCCCATCCTGCCTGAGCTCCCAGCAGCAGCTCAGCACACGTGCTCGAAGAAAGTTTGTGGCTCTGGACCCAGAGCAGTGGCTGGAGGAGCGAATGCAGGCCCAGGGCTCTCACAGCCCCATTGTGGGTGACAGGCTCACTCCGACTCCCTTGCTCAGCACGACAAACCAATGAACCTACACTCCCATCTGACGAGGGGCTAGGGGACCAACGGTGGGGGGTGCATATGACCAGAAGGAGACAGCCACATGGCTGTCCCCACAATTCACACTTTTTACACTTCCTTATCACACAAGGATTTGAGGGGAGCTTCAAGACATACATGCAAAAATATTGCAAAATGTAAATAAAAATTAGAACCAGGTGAATTGTAAATTCAAATAGACATTCAAAACCAAGAGGAACAAATAGACTCGAATCTGCAGATCATGGGGTCCTAGAATTGTGGTGTCTAACCCAGGAGCTGCACGTCACATGTGGCCACCAAGCATTGAGATGGGGCTCATATGAACTGAGATGTAAAAAGTGTATAAAGTGCACATCAGATTTGGAAGACTTTCTTATGGAAAGATAAGGATATAAAATCACTCAATAATTTTTATTGATTACGTTTTTGAGCTATATTGAGTTAAATAAAACATTATTAGGATTCATTTCATCTGTTTCTTTTTACTTGTTTAATGTGACTCCTAGAAAGCTTACAGTGACACCTGAGGCTCACATTCTGGCTCACATTCTGTTGCATTTCTATCAGACGTCGCTGTCCTAGAGGGTTGTTGCGATGAAGTCACACGTTTGGCTCTTCTGGGAGTCCAAAGTGAAAAGTGAGACTGGTCAGGTTAGGCATTCTCATTATTCACGAAGAGGAAGAGCATCCTTTTTTTGGGCACACATTCTTATCTCCATTTTACAGATACAGAGCTGGGGCTCAGGAAGGAGTGACTTGCATGTGGACACAAGGCCACAGAACTAAAGTCCAGGCCTTCCTCTTTGCGGGGCCAGACAGTATGGAGAAGGCAGGTGCCTCCGGGTGGGGGCTGGACTCGCCATCTTGAAGGACCTTCTATTTTCCAGGTGAACGCTACGGCTCTGAGAAAAATGTGGCCATTCTGACCAGCGCCCTGACGGCCGGCGCCGCGGAGGAATTTACCTACATCATGAAGAGGCTGGGCCGGGCACTGGTCATCGGGGAGGTGACCAGTGGGGGCTGCCAGCCACCACAAACCTACCACGTAGATGGCACTCATCTCTACATCACCATCCCCACGGCCCGTTCAGTGGGGGCTGCAGATGGCAGCTCCTGGGAAGGGGTGGGTGTGATGCCCCATGTGGCTGTCTCTGCTGAGGCAGCCCTCGCCAGAGCCAAGGAGATGCTCCAGCACACTCTGCTGAGGGCAAGAAGGAGCCCCGGGGTGGGCGGGACCTCCAGGCCACATAAAAAGGGCACTCCAGTGCGTGGTCCTGCCTGAGGTCGCGAGGGGCAGCAAAGGGGCCTGCTGAGCTCCCGTAGAGTTAGAGTTGGTGGTACCCTTGGAGTTCATCCAATGGTCTCTTCACCACTGCCAACATCTCCGTTTGAACATCTAGGGACAGGGAGCTCACCCCTCAGAGGCAACCCCATCCATAGTAGTTTTTTGGGCGAGGTGAAGTCCAGAGGCACCCCCACCCGTGCTTCTTAATTGCCGACCCCTGGTCCGAGAGCAGCTCTATCCAATAGAGTTACAACGCGAGCCGCAGATACCAGCATATGCTTTCTAGTAGTAAAAAGAAACAGGTAATATTTATTTTCATAGTGTAATTTATTTAACCAACTATATCCACAGTAGTACCATTTCAGCAGTATAAAAATTATTATGAATGAGGATGTTTTTGCAGGGAGCCTTTGAAATCTGGTAGGTAGTCTGCACTTACAGTGCATCCCATTTCTCACACACATGTCCCGTGCTCGGTGGCCACCTGCAGCTGGTGGATCCCATGTGGGACAGCGCAGGCCCAGAGGCCAGGCACCCCAATTCCCCAGCACATTGTGCCCTCTCTGCCCTCCCTGCGTCTGCATCTTCCCCATTAAAGCACCTCTCCCTCCTGCCCGGGGATTGTTTCTGTTCCCATCATGCTTCTCGGGAGCAATGGCCATCCTACTCAGCCTGGTCTCCTACTGCCCACCACTTAGCACAGCACCTGGTGCCCAAGGAGCACACATGAGTAACTGGCAGCAAGTCTGTTTTCCTCTAGGTGGCAGCCCTTAGACCCTTGAAGACGGGTCCAGTTTCACCTGGAATCCTCCCAATCCAATTCTATATGGCAAGTCTGTCTTCCCTTCATATGTTCCTCCCTTGGCCTTGTTCTCCAGCTTCTGTCAGGGGCCCCCAAAAGTGGGTTCCAGTACCATGCAGCATTTGGACATGCAGAGTTGCAACTTGAGGGGAGAGTGGCCCTGGACGGTGGTCTGGGTGCCTGCCCCTCTTGGCCTAGTGCAGCCTATCACCGTGCTGGCTCCGGCGACCAAGCCCAATCCTAATAGGGTGAGAAGCTGGCAGACCCCAAGACCTCCTCCAGAACCGAGAAAGCCCCAGGAGGAGATGGGGAGCTTGGGGGGTGACCTGGAGGAATGAGGCCCCTGGCTGGCCCTGGGAGCCGCGCAAACTTACTCTGCTGGAAATCACCAGGGACCCTAAAGTGAGAGACTTCCAGGCCCCTGCCCAAAGTCATGGTGGGGATGTAGCTGGAATAGTGGGGACATCCACAGCCCCCAATTAGTGCTCTCAGAGCCTGGGCTCCAAGATGTCTGAGTGAGGATGAAGTCCTGGTGCCATCTGGCCTTGATGTCTGGGGAGTCCAGCCTGGAGCTGCCACAGGCGACGTCCCGCAGGGCACTGGGCCGACTTCATTACACAACCCTGACTTCACCAGCCCCCTCCCCAGGTCCCAGAGAGTTGTGGAGTCTAAGCACACCCCTGGGTCACCAGCAATACCTAGGGATTTCGCCACCTGGAAAACCTTGAACAAACCCTGTCTAAATAGGAAAGCTCTGATGGAAAGCATTCCAGTTCCTCTTCCTTCTGCTAAATTCAACTAAGATTAAGTGCACGATTGAACGTTAGCTGTAGCACAGATACTGGAATCTCACCCTTTTCTTCATTAGACCTATTAACATCCGGGCAGATGTGTGACGCCCCTACGTGCTTACATTCTAGGCGTTCTCTCTCCTCCCTCTTCCTTCCCGCCCTTCCCCACACACAGCTATCTGATGTTCACCTAAATCAAACAATGGTTCCTCTAGGTGGTAGAATCAGGGGTCATATTTTAACTTTTTTTTCTCTTTATACTTTTCTTTTTTTTCTTAAATCCTTATAATAAGCATAGATCATAATTTTCAAATGCAGCAGTCATTATTTCAAAAATGAAATAAACAAATTATATCTTGAGTCACTAACCATACCTTAGTGATCACTAGTGATTGCTTTTTTTTTTTCCATGGGTTTTCCTTTGATATTATTTGGATTTCCTTGATTTACACAACTGACATTTATTGACAGTTGATTTTGTTTAAGGTGTCAGACTAGGTGCTGGGGGTCTGCCGACGGCACAGATCTCCATGGGTCTTAAATAGGGGAAGGGGTGGGGCAGCTCTTAGGGTGGATGACATACATAGTTCTCTTCTGAGCCTCACAGTGCATGGACAACAATTTTTTTTAATGGAACACATCACGAATTTGTGTGTCATCCTTGCGCAGGGGCCACGCTAATCTCTGTATCACTGTGATTTGTGTAGATGTGCTGCCGAAACGAACACTGGACAACCATTCTTACCATTTCCGCAGGAGTCAGCTGACACTCAATTAAGCTCACAAATTCACAGGAGGTCACACAGGTAGCACAAAGGACACGTGTCCTTTAGGCCACCCAACATATGCACCCCCTTTGAGTGTTCAGAGAAGTGCTCCCCATATGAACCTGTGGGAAACAGACTCACTAAGAGCAGTGAGGTGTTTGGGAGCCCAGGTTCCATCTTGAACCTGTCCCGGGGGAAAGGCCAGGCCAGCCACTTCCTAGCTGCGCAACCCTGGGCAAGTTGCTTCACCTCTCTGGGCCTTGGTTTTCTCATCTGGACAATGAGAGACGTAATAGCACTTTCAGGGCTATGAAGACGAAATGAGCTAATCCAGTGTCCAGCCAATGTCATCTGACACCATTTCCCCCGCCATCAAGCTGGACACACCAGAAGTCCATTTTCCCATCACCCTGGCCACCAGGGTATGGGCACGAGGTCCTTCCTGGGCCAATCAGAGGTTCCTGTGCAGAATATTTCATCTGTTTAAGCAAGTTAAATGTTTAAGCAAGTGGGAGCTGGGCAGCAGCAGTGGTCAGATGCCTAGTGTGCAGGGCCGTGGAGTCATGACCCCACTCAGCAGAGGTGGCAGCAACGTCCTCCAGAGGCAGCCCCCCTGCCTGACCATGGCTGAGGTCCTGCTGAGTAGCTCGTTTTTCCTGCCCACTGTCCACCCTGAGCCCTCAGCCTGCCCATCCAATGCTGGGTGCAGGCCAGGCTCCTCTCAAGGCATCCTTTCCTGCTTCCATCAACCACAGACTTTTTTTTTTTTTTTTTTTTTACAACAAACTGCACTGTCTGGTGCAGCTGGGCTAGGGGACAGGTGAGCTTTGAACCCACATCTGTCTGGCTCCAAAGACCCTGCTGTTTCTACCACATCATGAAGAGGCCCTGGAAAGAGGGCCTGAAGTGAGAGAAGTAGACCAAAGGGTCCTGTTCAGACCAAAGAGAAAGGGTCAGTGTTTCCGAGGTGGTTTCCTTGCATTGTTACCTGCTTGGAGATAGAAGACTGGAGAAAAAGGAAAAGGAAAACAAAATCCCACCAGGCCTCTCTTCCGGTGGCAGAGCCAGGTGACCCACAGCTGCCTAGGAGCCTCTGCTCCAATAAACTACAGGCCTCTTGAGCTCTTGATGTCCCAGTATGAACTCATCACCTCTACCTTCTCTTACCTTGCCTGGCCAAGGCCTGCTCCTGTCCCCAAGACCCCTTCTTGTGCACAGCCACACCTCCCTCCTGAAATTAGGGCAGAGATCTGAGAGCTAACCCAAAATCCCTCCTCTGTACCCCCACCCCACTGTGTCCACACAATCACCAGGATAATGAGTAGTCTGAGTTAATTGCACTCTGCTCTGGGCCCACCTGCCATTCCCCCTCCCTTGTTTTGGGGTCCTGGCTTGGTTCTTAAATCCCCACCACAGACTCCTACCCCCATTTCTGTGGCCCAGCCTGGAGTCAGGGCCACTGCTCTGCCATGCAAACTTCTCAGGTCTCCCCCTGCTTGAGGCCCGCGCCCCCCACAAGGCACCCACTGACCTGCAGTGAGAGGGGCTGGGGCCAGCCTGTCCTCCCCATTCCCCAAGGTAACCCCAGCCCACAGACAGGCTGGACCTTCACCATCAGGATCCTTGCTGGAGACTTGTCCAAAGTCCCCGGTCCAGCCGGAGCCAGGGACCACAGTGGAGCATCAGAGGGGAAGACCCCAGCTCTCCTTCCATCTCACCCTCCTGCTTGCCTACACAGCCCTACACGCAGCTGTGTTTGCATGTCTGCCTGTCAGTGAGGGCCTTGGTTATCCACACAGCTTGAATGCAATGAGAGGACAGGGCTCAGAAAAAAAGGATGCAACCCAAATCATACTTGTGGGCAAAGAAGCCTGCCTAGGAGATTCCCACTGGAGGGCGCCCGTCTCGCACCTCCTGGGTCCTATAGGATTAGCGGCCATCTGGCCTGAGGACCTCCTTGCCTCCTTGCTGGTGAGGGTAGCTGTCAGTGAAAATAGCTTGCTAATGCAAGCGGCTTAGAATAGCAAGGGTATCAGAGGCCACTGACTTCCTGTCTCCTGCCCCAGGAAAACACAAGACAGCCAGGGAAGAAAATGTTAAATTTAAGGAACCCCAACCCTCCTCCCAGAATGTACTGCCTCCCCAACCCCCATTCAAAATTGGTTTCTGGAAATTCTCTCCTAGGAAGTGGCACAAATCAAAATGCTACCCTGGGAAGCATAATTTATTTTAAAAAATAAAACATTTTTTTCCTATGGGACTCATCTCTTACTATATGATTTTTAGTCCTCTCTCATGACTTCTACTACAAAAACAAAAACAAAATTATGCAATTAACCAGGGTATATAAAACCTTCTCTTACAAGAAGTGGCCTTCAGGGGAGGCCCGCTGCCTCCAGGGGGGTGCCAGCACCTGTCAAGGAAAGGGAGGATGCACCCTTCACCTTGGAACAACTGGTGAGGTTCAGCCCTCTGTGGGAGTTCCTTCTTGTGCCCAGAGGAATAGGGCGGTTTGTGTGAGGTTAGCAGGGCTGGGCCCAGTACCCAGACTCTTCCAAGTCTGGATACATAATAGATTCAGGGGTCTCCAGCTGGTCGCTCCTCCCCCTCCCCATCACCATCACCACTAATGTGCTTCTTTAAGTCCATGCTATTCTGGCCATCAGCTTTTAAAAACCAACTGAATCACTAATTTCACATACAGTACTGATTTCTAGCCTCTCTTGAGGCCTGCATTCAGCCTGGCACTAAAGAGACTTCCTTCACCCAGGACACAGGAATTCTAGGTATCAGACCCACCCTCTCTCCTTTTCTCCCTGTCCCTGAGCCCAGTGGACTTCACTCACGTTCATTAATCTAATTAGAGAGTCATTTGAGTAGGATACCCTGTCTTTACGGTCTAAGATTCAGGAACTGGCCAGAAGCTGAAATCCAGGATCCCAGCCTTGTTAAGGTTTTACTTCTCCTCCAGATAAAAGTGGGTGGCAGGGGAGGGGGAGGAGCAGATTTTGGTTATAATTGAGAACTAAAATGGACCTGAATTCAGAATGTCTTATTTCAGCCTCATTAGCACATTTTGGGGACTCTTATAAATCCTAATTGAATGGCTGCTGCTTGGGAGATTAAGATAGACATTGCCATTGTCCCAGCCACTAGAAGGGATTTTCCCTCGCCTATTCCAAGAAATTAGCCAAGCCTTTCTGTTCATTGACTCCGTGGTTTCTGTGTGACATCTGTAATGACGACGTGGCCAGAAAAGCACCAAGGCCCAAGATCCTGGAAGAGGGGAGGAGACTGAACACATTGGAGGACAGAGACAAAGACACCAGAGCCCCATGGGGAGACCGTATGACTCTCAGGGAGGCTACCTTCATAAGCGGGGCACATTGGGGGAACTTTCTGGGAACTTGAAAGACAGGGGAGGAATTTGAAAATGACAGACTGCATATCTTACCAGAACCACAGGATCGGGGTGTAGAGCAGATTAAATTAGATATAGAGAATTTAAGGAATGTGATCATTCTTACCCCAGACTTAAAGAGGAAAATTCTCACCTGCTGATGTGATGTTTTGTGGCAACATCACCAGCCAACCCTTAACTAGTATGGAAGGTGGCAGACGGAGATTGGGCAAAGTCATGATTCAGAGTGACTACTCTGGAAGGTCAGGAGAGAAGAAAGGGTGAGGCAGGATTTGACTGCCAAGGGGACTTTGGGAACCCAGCCTGGTGACAAGTAGGAGCTGCCACTTTCATAAACTGTAAGTCATCATTTCCATAAGTCATCTTGGAGTTTGTCAATTTCAATGGCTGCAAAGCAACTTGCATGTCCATTAGTTTTTATTCAAATAAACTGCCTCTTATAAAGTTGGGGAAAGACATTCCGTTACGCTTCTTCATAACTTTTATTTGGTTAGCTTTAATATTTTTCAAAATGTCTCCCTTGCTTGAAAATGATGGGGTCACTGCTAATAGTAATTCTGCGTGTGGTTACAGGCAATGTTCTTAGAGCATGTGGGCAGGTCAGGGAAGATGCCCAGGCTGACATTTCAGGGGTCCTGGCCTTGACCTCACCGCCACTTGCCCTGCATCACTTTGCAGGTCTGATCATCAGTGAACCTCAGTGCTCATCGCTATAAAGTGAGAGGATGCAGGAGAACTCTAGAGTCCCCTTCCATTCCAAATTTCGATTTTTAGTATAATGCACTTGTGCCTTTCAAAGTGATTTCACAGAAATATGGACCAATCCAATAGATTGCACAGAGGACAGCTGTGCACACCATCTGAAAGATGTCAAAACACTTATGAGCAGCTGATTCAGGGTTTATCAGGGGTGAGACTGGAACCAGGCATCTCATTCATTCATTCATTCATTCATTCAACAAATGTCTGTTGAACATCTACTACATTCCTGCATTGTTCTTCCTGCTGGGGATACAGCAGTGAACAAAACCAAAAATCCCTCATGGAGCTTATGCTCCAGTAATGGGACAGAGTAAATAAGACAAATCAGTAAACTCGTGTAGCATACAAGATAATAGAAAAGTGTTCAAGGAAAGGGTGATAGGAAATGTGGGAGTGTATGCAGGATGCAAGGCGAAATTTTAGAAGGAGTCAGCGCCTGACCCTAGATCCTATTTTTAAACCATCCATGATGCCATGTAGCCACATGCTGAGCAAATGCATGGCAGGCTGGGAAGGATGTGAGCTCACAGTTGGGTGGTCCTGGGACCTTATTCTTGCACCATTTCTCCTGAACCTATGACCTTAGAAAAGACTCTTAACCTCTTGGAGCTTAGTTTCTTCTGCATTAACATGGGAATTAAAGATCTACCTCCTGTGCACATCAGGCAGATGCAACGATGTACGTCAGTGCATCACGTGGAGCCTCCAGGTTCCAGGTTCACACTCCAGGGAGCACCCTTTCCTTACCCACGTGGGATGGCGGGGGAAGGAGGCTCCTTGAAGCTTCAGCCCCCTTCTGTGGGGAAAGGGACCATCCTACAAAGCCCAAGTCTCTCTCAGGGAGGGGGCTTCCAAACCTCCCTGCAAGAATGGAGCTGCTCTGTTGGTGCCTGCAGCGAGCACCGCTGGCTCCTTCCAGATGCAGAGGCTCCCTCAGGGGGTCCTCTCCTCTACTCCAGCCCACCCTTCCCTCTGCAGCCAGAGGATTCCTCAAAGTGCCTCTCAGATCCAGCCTTCTTGTGTCTGGGCCAAACTCCTGTCCTTGGAAGCCTTCCTCCGTCTCCATCTCAGAGGGCCACCATCTCACTCGGTTCTCACACGGGCCTTGTAGCATCCTACAGCACTGTAGCTCTGGTCCCCTCTTCCCCAGCCACCGCCCTCCATCTGAACCTCCAGCACCTGCTGGACTTTGATGATCTGCTCTTGCCCCCACTCCTCAGGAGGCCTCTGGAAGCACTGTCCTCCCCTACCACAGGTCTGATGTGGGCCTGTTCCCATGTGCCTGGTGCCCCACACAGGCCTCTGTTTGGCATCTGCCACACTGTACGCTAGGCTGCATACCCTGAACAAGGACCATGGGCAGAATTCAGGGGCCTCCCCCAGGGCCTGGCACCAAGCCTGACACAGCAGGGGTGCCTGGGGAGGTCAATAAATGAGTGAATAAATGGCTGGCTATGGGTGGAGAATGGATGGGTGTGTGGGTGGAAGGTGAGGGGAAGGTGAGTCAGGGGGATGGGGGTAGGGTGGGCCAGGTGGGACCTGCTGCTGCCTGCACCAGGTTGGCACATGGAGAGGGAGAGAAGAGGTCGAGTTTGGGGGCTGTTTGGATGGCTCACTGGCCGCTGTCTGAACGCCCCCACCAGCTCCTTCCCAACCACAGCCTGAGCTCTGTGCCAGAGGCCCCACCAGAGGGTTGAAAATTGCAGATCAAATGAACATGTCCCGAAAGGGAAGTGGAAACCAGTCGAAAGAACTCACTGACTCGAAAGAACTCCCAGCTGGTGGCCTTCACACAAACTGGCCTGAGTTATATCAGAGTTTATGACCTGAGGTTTGCAAGGACAAATGCAGATAAACAGAGCAGTTACTGAGAGAAACACAACATGCAGTAGATACTGGTAGCCAGAACTCTCTTAATTCTCACAGTGTTTTAAGGCTAAACCGTTGTACATCATCACTTCCTGAGAGCTAAGGGGTGTGTGGGTGGGTGGGTGTGTTGTTCCTTTTGCCCCCTTTCATGAATTCAGAATGTGAAGAACCATGGAGCGAGTGTTGGTTGAATTATTGGTCCCAATTCTTCATGTTCCTGCAGTAGGATTTCACATTCGCTCCCTCATCATGGCTTCACTGTGGGCAGCACGCACATATCACCCATTTACTTTGGGCTTGGCCATTGACTTGCTTTGGCTAAGAGGACGTTAGTAGAATTGACCCCAAGGGACGCCTGGATGGCTCAGTCAGTTAAGCGTCTGACTCTTGGTTTCGGCTCAGGTCATGATCTCAGGGTCTTGAGATCAAGCCCCGTGTCAGGCTCCATGCTGAGCATGGAACCTGCTCAAGATTCTCTCTCTCTGCCCCTCCCCCCACACTCTCGCACTCTCTCTCTCTCTCAAAAAAAAAAGAAAAAGTGACTCAAGCAGAAACCTGAGGTTTGCTTGTGTATTTGGATTTTCCTTCTTGGGCTCTTGGCATAAACACGAGAGAAGTATCATCTGGGAAGCCCATCAGTCCTAGAGTAAAAGACAAACTTAAAGATAATTTGTGATCAGAGCCAAGCCCAGCCAAGACCAACTCAACCCAGCCAATCCATAGAACCTCGAGTGAGAAATAGATGCTTTGAGTTGTTTGCCACTGAGATTTTGTTATTTAACAACACCTGACTGATCTGGACAATAATATCATTTAATCAGTGATCACACCGTGCCAAGTGTCATGCTGGCTATTTTCCACACACCTTCGCATGTAACCCTGACAACATCCCTAAGACACAAGTGTCACCTAAGAACACTGGGGCTCAGACGATGAAAGCAATGTGTCCAAGGTCAGGGCTAATATGTGAAAGATTTGAATCCAGGTTTGTCTGCCTCCAAAGCTCATGCTGTGTGCCAAACTTGCCTCCCCAAGGAACAAACAGAATGGTGACAGGAGCAGGGCCTCCACTTCATGCCTCATAGTCCCAATGCCCTAGGTTAACAAAGCATATCATTTTATTGCATGACTTTATTTCCATCAAAACACATCACAGCTGAGGGCTCTCTTTTTCAAATGATGACCGAGGTGTTCATCTATGAACTCCAATGCAGACAGCCCTGCAGACAACTCTGACCAGCTTTTTCAAAGGAAACACCAGCGAGCCATCTCCGGCTCATTGCCAAATCTTAGAAGCTGCCCCTACAGGTTTGCTCCACAGTCACTGGCTAACTGTGAGAAGTCATGTGCCGAGACAGATGGTGGCGCTCCCGGAAGTATTCATGGCAAATGGGACATGTGAGGGCCTCTTCCCTCAGCTTCTTAGAATGTAGGTCAGGCCCTGCATGCTCCTTTTTGTGGTGGGACCGCATGTGGAAGACCAGGTCGGAGGTCAGGCGAAAGGACAGGTTGCACTTTGCACACCAGTTCTGGGTGGACAGGCCCAGGGAGGTGAACGTGGGTCGCAGCAGAGCCCAAGAGGCAGGGGAGGAGGAGGATGAGTGTGTGGGTATCTGGCCAGTGGCATGCTTTAGCCACAGTGTGGGGGCACCCATGAAAGCACTGCAGACAGGAACATTTTGTGGCAACGTTTGCAGGTTCCAGAAATCACCCACCAAAAACTTAGAATTTGAAAGTTGACCCCAACAAGGGACATCTACCGTGTTGATGAGTCCCAACAGCTCCCCAAGGGCATCTGCGTGTCCCTCTGCCTGGAAGGCAGAGGTTGGCCCAGGTCTCCCTGTTGGACACCTGGATGGTTTGCCGAAGGCGCTTCTCGGTTCCCCTTGGGCTCCGCTGGGCCAAGAGAAGACCTTGCTGCCAGCTGCCCTGGGGATCTCCTGTGTCAGCTGCTGGGGGACAGGCCATCCTGTGGGGTTACCATGCTCCCTCTCCTTGGCCTGCGCACCCTCCAGCCTCTTCTTGAGCCGAGGCACCTCCGTGAAGGCACTCTGCCCCTGTTCCCAGCACACCTTCTGGGCCATTGGCTTTCCCAGTCTGAGTTTGCCTGGGGTTGCTGACAGCACCAGCTCAGCATAGGCCTCATGCTGGCCCCCGCCGCCTGTGGCAGCCTCAGAGCCCAGGTGGTTGGTTTTCGCCAGCAGCACTGGCTTGCAACCCCTGCCCTGGTCGGCTTCACTAAGCCGCCATCTGTTTTCAGCTGAAGAGCTCCGCACAGCACCCTTCCCAGCAGCCATGCTGACCAGCAGGGTGTGAGCCAGCTGCCAAGGTGGATGCTCCAATGGCTGTCAGTCTTCAGGGGCTTTGGTGTTCCAGAGGGCTTGACCCAGGGAGGAGCCGTGAGACTGGAGTGCTCCCCCGTTGGCTGCGCCAGCACACTTGGACCACAGGACACTGCACAGAGAGGAAGCAACAGCAGTGAGACATGCGCTCCTCATCTTTGCTGTGTGCATCCAAAGAAGCCTGACTGCTAAGGATGCAGCAGCTCACCCTGACTTGGAGCACTGTGCCACCTGCTTTCACCTCCAGGACTCCATCAGGGAGGAAGGACCATGCCACGTGACCCTGCCACCCAGGGGTGAGGCTCAGCACTGCCCCTGCACCTGCCAGCATCCAGGCAGCAGCTGCTGTGTTCCCACAGCACACGACGTGTCCACCGGGCAGTTCCGACCCAGCTGACAAATCTAACGTGTTTGCACCCTGACTTATGAAAGTTTTCATTGTTTAGAGTAGTCTTGCTGCTCAGTGTGTCCATTTTTCTTCCACGGAATCAGACGTGACAGGACACCGAGCACCTGGGAGCGGAGCTCCGGCAGCACAGGTGGCCAGAGGGTAAAGGCTGGACAATAAAATGCCCAGGCATGCCAGGGTGGGTCTGGGCCCCGCTCCCACTCCTGGGGGGCAGCCCCCTCTTCTCCACCTGGCCCTGCCCTTGGAGCAAGCGTGGGTCTGCCCCGTAGCCACTCGCCAGAGTGCCCACACTTGGTTTGCCTCAGACATTAATCCATTTCCTTCTCCTCTGCTCACCTGTCAACTGTCCTCTTGTGCCAACCTGCTGGACCTACTCAGGTAGACCAGCCTCCACTCTGCCCTGGAGGTGCTCAAGGCTTGGAGGAAAGACACTCACGGCCATATGTGAGGTGGCACTGAGGAGGAGAGAGTGTCATCAGCCCTGCTGGGGAGGCTTTCCTCCCTGCCCTTCCCTAATCAACTCCACCGGCCAGTTCTTGAAGCTAGGACACCCCTCTTCAAGCCTCCCCCCACCCACTCTCCCCCAGATGGTGAGCAGCACTGGCTGAACCAGACTCACATGCACACACATACACATCTTCGTTCACCCACTCAAATACACATACACTCACAGAAACAAACACATACACACACACACACATACACTCACATATACACACTCATACATACACATACATACACTCACACTTATACACACACACATACACACACACACACTCCCCCCCCACAATTCGTCTCTCTTTCTATCCCCAGCTCTGCCTCAGACAGCTCTCCAGATGACATTTCAGAACCACAGGCTGTCTTTCCTGAGCCTGGGCAGGTGCCCATGCTACTGTCCTCCGGGTCCTGCTGCACCCTGCACCCCTCTGCAGACAGCCCCACTGGGCTGCCATCTCAGCTCGGGCAACCTCTGCCAACCACAGCCATGTAGACCCAGTCATCAGAAATGTCCAGAGTGCCCTGAGCCACAGATGTGACAACTCTGTTTTCAGCATTCAAATCTGGAACATGGGATCTTACTGCAGGATGAAATATTTACTACCAGGGATGCTTCATCATGTAAACATAGAAGTGACCGTTTATAGACTATGTAGGTGAACACATGCCAGAGATGCCAGAGGCTTCATATGCCTTATTGCGTGGAATTTTCACAGTAACCACATGAGGGAAGCTGCATGATTCAACCCAAGGGCATCCATCTCCAACCTGCCAAATGCCACATTGCTAAATGCAGCGCTGCCTTCCAGCTTCTTGAGACCATTGTGGGTCTGAATTCTGCCAATCACTATATTAGATATCCATCCAACTCCATGTTCCATCAATTTTATTATTCAAATCTTAATAATAATAATGGGACCAACAGGAGGAGGAGAAAGAAAAGGAGATATAATAATAATAATAATAATAATAATAATAATAATACTGAGAAAGAGAAGAAGAAAAGAAGGTGACAAGGGTACTGCACTGACTGGGGACCTTTGGCATGACCAAGCTCCCTGAGGCTCACCTCTCTCCCATGCATCAGCACTGCTGGGCTAAGGTCACTCAGACAAGTGCAAATAATGTCCTACAACACTCTCTCTGGGGCTCCATCTAACCGGTCCACTCTGTCTGTGACATTGCCAGATGGAAGCCTCTCAAAGAGGAAAATGATGTGTGTCTGACGTGGCCTGTCCCAGGTGAACCTGTGCCAGCTCCTGATGCTCATCTCTTCCTGTCAAACGGACTCACGGGCCCTTTCCCAGGGTCAACATCAGACTCTGGGTCTCATCCAGCTCCAGGCTTCATGCACCTCTCCTGTGATCCACCTCTCAGATGACCTGTGCAGATGCATGATGTCATCTCTGGGGTGACATCATGCTCTGGCCGGTGAGTTCTGGGTCAGGAGATCACATGCACAGCTGCTTGGTGCTGCCTCGCTCCTTCTTCCTACGTGGACCGACCAATGCCCTTTGCGACTGGAGGATGGTTCTCTGCCAGACATTCCGGTGAATCTATGAAGCCCTTGTTCTCCTTGCTCCCGTGCAATGTTAAGGGACTCTTTGCTGTCCCTCCACTCTCCTCAATAGCCCCAATTCATTCTGAGCTCTCACCCCCTGACACGATCTGCTCATCCTCATCACTCTGTTGTGTGTGTCCTGATAAGGGTTCTCTTCTCCTCCTTGGATCTTTTCAGTCTGAGCTTAGCAAGAAACCCCCTGAGCCACACAGACATCTTTCAGTAACACCCCGTGGTCTTCCTATTGAAAGGACCTGATTTCAATCCCAGACTCTCCAACATTTCTGAGCCCTTAGATCATGGGATTATAAGTGATCTTTGAGACCTTCTGAATCTGTGCTCCCCAAGTTTACATGGTGTCTGACCACATCCATCCTTCCCTATCATACAGGATACTTCTCCCTCAGGCTCTCAACCTTCCTGGGCCACCAGTGAGGATTCCTCCAATGAACACAAGAAGGGCTACATTCTTGGAAATGAAGCCTTACTCACTTCACAGTGTTACAAGCACATGCGTCTTTGTTTATTACCCACCGAGTGCAGACTCTGATCACTCTTTCACTTGGCCACATTCTGTTCACGCTATGACCAGGCCATCCCATGTTATCATCAAGCCGTGTATCACCCAGAGGATAAGTGCATGGGCTCTCACATCAGATGCCTCGACCAAACCCAACTCTGCTCTTACCAATCCTGTGACCACGGGCAAGGTGTTGATCCTCTCTCTGCCTATTTTCTCATCCAAAAAAAGGACCCTTTCTTAAAAAAAGGATCACCTTGGGGCCTACTCCATCAGGTGGTTGGTAAAGATTAGACGGATTAATGTATCTGAAGTGTTAAAGAGCCGGGCCCAATAAATGTTAGGTACATTAATTTATTCATTATTATCACACTAGTGCAAAGGGTAAGAGTCAACCTCCTGGCTGACCTTCCTCTACTCATGTGCTCCCAGGAACCAGTGCCCAGTAGTGTGTAATGAGTGACCCAATGGCCTGCCTGTTTTCCTCCTTCCCTCTTCATTCACAGAAGAAAGAACCTTTAGTCAACAACCGGGTGACCTCTTTTTCCTGAGGTATCTGAAGGTACTCTCCAACCTCTGTCAGCTGGCCAGCCTCCAGCCTATCCAAGCTGCATCGCACTCAGAAACTGGATCTTATTCAGTGATACCATGTATACCACCAACTAGTATCTCCTGTGTCTGCCTTCCTCTTTAGCTAAAACAAACAAGAGCAGATAATATCTCCTGTGCGCTAATCCTTTGGTTTCCCTAGACCTTGGAGGTGCTTCTCAGACCATTCTGGAAGGTTCCAGAGGATAATTATCTATCCACCTCTTCTACATATGGATTGTGACGTCCTGGGTTTTCCTGAACGGGAAATACACACGCACTCTCCTAGCTCTGGAACCCTGAGAAAATTAAAACTGGAGAGCTATCCAGGCTTTCCTGGAGGCTGGTTGGTGATGCCACAGAGAAGAGGTCTTCCCAGCCAATCTCCACAGGCTCTATGTCCGCCTAGACCCCTTCAGCAGCAATGCCTGCTGTGTTCAAGCAAAACTAAATGCAATTTTCCCAGAATGCAGCCAGACACCAGGCCCATAATGCAGTCGGCTGGAGTCCTAACACAACTTGGCCATGTAGACCAAGCCCAGTGGTGGCCTTCCGGGGAAAGTCCATGGCTTGTATATCAAACTGCTCAGCCAGACTCTACCTGATGCCAATAATAGCATCATTATCTACCAGAAAGGAGAGATACAGCCTACTCAAAGAAGGAAAGGAAATTTAAAAGCATTGCAGCTCAACACAAAACCTTGAAAAAATCTTTTTATTGTGATTATCTGTTTTAAAGAAAAGTTGTCACTTCCTGGGTTTCTGAAAAAGAAATCTGCTAAGCAAAGCAGACATGATGGTTTTAAATCATTTGCAAAGCATCCCTTTCATCCCACCCCTCCAGACTTCTGATACATTGGAAGTCAGCGGTACAATGATTTAAAAGTCAATTTGACTCTTAAGTGCAGAAAACAACCTCCCGAATCAAAGTTCCATGCATATACTTAAGAATTTGTCCAACATTCTTTGATTTAAAATGAAAATTTTCTTTCAATAAACACATTGCAATCCTCTTCCATCATATTTCATTTTTGTTTGTGTGATTTATGTAATGTCACATTTCCTTTCCCGTAACAACTGAAAAGTCAAATGAACTGAAATATCATTAAAAATCATAATAAACCAAAAGGTTAAATTCTTTATTAAAAAAAACTTCTGTGTTAGGTGGTAATTAATAGCTTTAAAAACAAACAAGTTTATATATATATGGTGTGTGTGTATGTGTGTTTGAACATACAGCTATATGTCATAAAAATATCATAAAGCAATGAAATCACATCTCTCTGACAAAATCACATTTTTAACAAGAAGCAAAACATTGCTTTAATATACAATACTTCTACTTTATTTCCCCCAAATTAATCGGATTTGTTTTTCTAGATTTCTTCACTTAGTATGTGTCTAATACAATCCTTGATACTAAGATGAGGGTATTTTCAACTGTGGTCCTACCTAATGTACACAATAACATTAATCTTAAATGCCACAATAATTGCTATAAAATGCCTGTCTGATTCAGCATAATTATGGAACTTAAATTCTGCACATCAGCAGCACTGACAAGTATCTATTTTAGAAATACACAGTTAATTTCATATTTTAACTCTCACTTAATGGTTTCACATGAAAAGCCCTCACCTCTCTATTGTCTTCCCACAAGTAAGCTCTGAATTCCACCCCTTCCCTCCCTATCAACCTGGCCTTACACTATTTCCAAGGAAGGATGGTGTGGGCCCCAGTGTCCCCTCAATGTTTCTGCAGGATTTAGCTTCCTGGTGTGCTCTCTGTGCCTGTTACTACAGGCAAATGTCAAGAAAACGACTCAATCAATGCCTTGTCTCTAAAACTAAGTATTTTCTTCCAGCTCACCCTAAATCTCAGATATTTATAACTAGATCATTTATGTATTTTTCCCAAAACAGGCATTGAATGCCCAAATCTTTGGATATAATCTTTTGGAGAAAGGATCTGGGACAGATGCTCCATTATTACTCTAGTACCCAGTACAAGCTCTGGCTGAGTATAACAGAGCAACACAGGATGAGGAAGGATGGGTGGATGGACAGATGGACGAATGAGAGTCATCCTAGGAGAAAAAAAAAATCAAAAGGCAGAATTCCTGGGGCGGGTGGTGGAGGGTGGGGCGAAGGAAAAGACCAAGAGAGACAGAGAAGGAAAAAGAGAAGGGGTAGGGCAGGGAAAATAGGTAATGAAGAAGAGGCAGACAAGAAAAAGTGAGATAGACGACGGAGGGAAACAGGAAGAGACAAGGAGACAAAAGACAGAGGCAGAAGGCAGGGACTGGGGGTAACGAAGAGAAAAAAGGGGGGGGCGAGATGAAGGAAGCCGGCGCCCGAGGGGAGGAAAGAACCCGGCAGTCAAGGGCAGGACTGCGCACTCTGCCCTGGGGAAAGGCCAGCAGAAGTGGGATGAATCGCGCCCCCCACGTCCACTCGCCGCCTGTCCCGCGTGCAGGACGGCGCGTCTCACCTTAGCTTTCCCGCGGCGCTGGGCGCTGGAGAGGCGCTGACAGCCCCGACCGCTTCCAGGTCGGACCGCACCACACAAGAGTCGGAACCTGGCGCGCGAACCCCGGGGGCCGGCCGGGCCCCGCCCTCCCGGACTGCTCCCGCCTCCGGGGCGGGGCCTCAGGCAGCCACCCCCACGGCCCCTTCCGGGAGGGGCCTGTGCGTCGACGCGACTTACTCAGAGGTGAGCGGGGTGCGAGCCCGGCGCGCTCCGCTCCGCAAACCCCGGCCCGCCGCCAGGGGACTCGGCCTCTGCCCGGCGCCTCGCAGCAGCCGGGCTGAGGGGAGCGTCCCGGCGCTGGCCGCCCCACCCAGCGAAAAGCTCCCGTGCCTTGGGAGGTGGCGCCTGGGCCACGGCGGAGGCACCCCTGCCGCTGCTCACCCGCCCTATACGCCACGACTTCTCCCCGAGGCCCGCGGGTCCCAGGCTACCGCCCGGGTGTTAGTGCGGAGATCCCCGCGGCGTCCGGGCAGTTCTTCCCCCTGCCCGCTGAGCCGCCGCGCAAACTGCATCTTTGCAGCGCCGCGAGAATCTCCCAAACTTCCGTGGAACTGTCCCTCTGCCTCGCTGCCTCCTCAGCCGGGAGATGGCAGCACTGCGCCAGACCATGGTGAGTTCTGTGATCTCACAGAAAGCAGAGGTGTCAGGGAACCTAACTACCCACGGAGAATGGGACGGACTAGGGTCCGAAAAAGGGCTGCGCGGCGGGAGGGAATGGCTTCTGAGTGGGCGACATTCATGACAGGACTCGAAGGAGCTCGTAGTGACAGGTGAGAAGAGATGGGAGAAATGGGTGAGCTCACCAGAATTGTAATGGCAGCCAGATGTGAGGGTCACATTGTTGGAGCACAGAGGGAGTGCAGAGCCGATTAGACTGAGGAAGGGAGATCCCTGAGGGACTGAAAGGGAAACCAGCCCTGAGTCCCTGCTCCGTTCTTCCTTCAGTCACTCAGTCAATGTTCTGGATGCACTTGGGGGGCAGGGGATGCAGGGACAGAAGGTAACAGGCTCTGTGCTTTTCCCCGGGTTTTGGAGCATCTGTTACACAAATAAGATTGTAAAGAAAAAAAATTATGGTAAATCTGAGGGGGGAAAAGCTGATTCAGAACATACATTAGAAGATCCACAAAGCAAAACTTTTCTTTCGGTGAATATGGAAGTGAAACATCAAATCCCTAATGTGAGCATTTATACAACTTTAATGAAAGAGAAGCTTAGAGGAAAATTTGTGGCCACAAATGGTTATTTTATGGGGGAAAAAAAGGTAAAAATAAATGAGTTAACAATTAACCTAAAAATATTTGAAAAAGAATACTAAAATGAAACCCAAAGAAAATGAAAGGGAGAATATTTTAGAGAAATAATAAATACAAAAAAATAGTAAAATAGTAAAACAAAACCAAAAGTTATTTAAAAAGATAAATATAGATAATATTCTAATGAAATTGATTGTAAAACAGGACAGTCTTCCCAATGTTTTTATTATAATTTTTATTATTATTATTACCTCCCCCAGGAGCTCTTTTTTTTTTATGTTACGTTAATCATAACAGGTTGCTGCCTGTGTTCTCCTTTAGGATGTTGATGGACTCCTGTCTCACATTGAGGTCTTTCAACCATTTGGAGTCTATTTTTGTGTGTGGTGTAAGGAAATGGTCCAGTTTCATTCTTCTGCATGTG